CCCCAAAACCCCAAAACCCCAAAACCCCAAAACCCCAAAACCCCTTAGGGAATAGATGATGTTGAGATTAGAATTTTGGGATGTGATTTTTAGACAGGATTACACTATGAACATGTATGAAAGCCCAGAATCTTCACTTCCAATCATCTTTATACCATCAAGTCTTGTTTTCAAGGCAAGTTCCTTCATCTTCCCAGGATTAAGACAACTATGATGGAGAGTTATGCATTTTAGTGAATATTTCAGAGCTGAGTCAGAAATTGCTGTGAAAAGATCAGAAAGTTTCTCTGGATTTGCTTTCCAATTATTTAGCGTACTAAGCCCACAAAATGGCAACTTAAGATGCCTCAAAACTTGTTTAGAAGAAGTAGAGGATGAATCATTGACCAAGAGTGAAGAACTATTGTTCCTCAGCTTGAGTCCATTTGTTTGGAGCACACATTGAGACAACTCTATCTCCTCTAAATGAAAGCCATAATGAAAGATATTTGCAATGCTCTTTGATGAGATCACTCATTTTTCAATTCATAATCTTTGGGTTACTTTAGCCAAAGATTTCAGAAGAGCGTTAGAATATAGACTAAAGTTTAGGGGTGTGGAATATGATCTCATATTAAATTTTAAGATTGAGATACGAGAGAAGAGAGATTTTTCAAGAAATTTTATCACATATTGATCTCTTTTCAGGGGGATATCGTATAATTCAATGATATTTAAATTTAATCAAGAGAAAGATATTTCTGAGCATGCTCTTAATGAAATCCTTTCCTTAGGACATTTTGAACACAACAAAAGTCAATCACCTATAGCATAAATTAAGATTCTAAATCTCAATTCTTAGCTTAAAAGACCTGTAACTTACTAGGAAATCAAGTATTCAAATATTCCTGACTACTACCAACATTCAAATTAATAAAATTCATCATAAATTCTTTAGTTTCCTTTTGAACTTTGCTCTCCAAAATCTCAACTCCTTTCCTCTTTTGTCCAATTAGTTCTACTGCTTCCATAATTTATATTTTCTACTTATTCTTCAGAAAAAGGGGTTTTGGGGTTTTGGGGTTTTGGGGTTTTGGGGTTTTGGGG